AGGAAATACAAAAAAAAACAGAATAGTAAGAACCGCTATATGTATGTTGTGATGTCAAGGAAGAGAAACAATTGAGACCCTGCAATTGTATGTGAATGAGGCAGAAAGTCAGATCAGCAACCTGGGACTTGGTCACAATTTTCGTGATGCCATACGGCAGCAGGGTCTACCATTAGACGACACATTATGCTGCCAATATCTTCCCAGGCGGTAGTACCTCCCTGTTTGGTTATTGCCTACTACCTGGTTGGTAGTACTAAACGACCCACTGAGTAAATTGTTTGGGGTTAGTTAAGATGTGGTTAGGTTATTAGAGACCGACTGTGGCACTTATTACTACACACCGTGGCACTTGCTACTAGAGATCGTGGCACTCCTCACCAGAGACTGTGACACTCCTCACCGTGGCACACCTCACCGTGGCACTCCTCACCGTGGCACTCCTAACCGTGGCACACCTCACCGTGGCACTCCTCACCGTGGCACACCTCACCGTGGCACTCCTAACCGTGGCACACCTCACCGTGGCGCTCCTAACCGTGGCACACCACCGTGGCACTCCTAACCGTGGCACACCTCACCGTGGCACTCCTAACCGTGGCAATACCTCACCGTGGCACTCCTCACCGTGCACCCCGTACCGTGGCACTCCTAACCGTGGCACACCTCACCGTGGCACACCTCACCGTGGCACACCGTGGCACTCCTAAATCCCCGTGGCACACCACCGTGGCACTCCTAACCGTGGCACACCTCACCGTGGCACACTAACACCGTGGCACTTCCCTACCGTGGCACACCCTCACCGTGGCACACCCTCACCGTGGCACACCTCACCGTGGCACACCTCACCGTGGCACTCCTCACCGTGGCACTCCTAACCGTGGCACACCTCACCGTGGCACACCTCACCGTGGCACTCCTCACCGTGGCACACCTCACCGTGGCACACCTCACCGTGGCACTCCTCACCGTGGCACACCTCACCGTGGCACTCCTCACCTGCACTACATGTGGACCAACTTATGACAGACAGAAACTTCCTGAGAGATAAAACTTTGACGGGGAGAATAATTTACCTTCCTTCACCTCGCCAGAATGCCATAATTAATAATAAACATCTCTCTTGTTTGGCAAAAGTGTATTTTGATGTTTATTTTACTACAACTAACTGTATTTCTTGATAGATTTGGGTAAAATAGAAGCACAGATTAACCTTTTTTGTGTTGAGATAAAGTTAAGCTACAGCATAATTTTTAAAAGAGAAGCGATGAAGTGTGAGAGGGAAAATGCTATGATGCAGTCCTCTGGTTGGTCTACTTAGGAGATAATGTCGCTTCAGATAATGTGCCTCATTAACGCTGAATTGGAACCATTTCTCCTAAACTGTGAATAGATTTCTCCACCTCGCCCAAGAGAGAGAGGAAAAACCCTGAGAAGTTAGAAAAAATAAATAATTATAATACAACCAAATGATTTCCTTATGACGTGAAACATGTGAGTCGGACAATAATGTTCTCACAAGAGTCTGGAGTCTGTCTAACATGTAAGAGATTGAGAAGCTTACGTGATGACGAACTTAATGCAAAATGAACAATATTGACAGAGGTAAGAGTATCAAATAATATAGAAGATCGTGAAGGTACAGGTAGGCGTTGATACAGTCTACAGAACACTGGGATATTACCTTCAAGAGCACACAGACGTGGTTCTCGATACAGTTCCATAGAGAATGACGCGGAGCTGGCGATAGAGGATTGTTTATTAGGAACTTATATAAAAAAATAACAGACATACAGAGATTTTACACGAAAGTTTGGTGGAAAAAGAGACCACATACCTTCGTTATAAATGATATTGAGGAAGACTGTATTGTTAATTTTGTTGGGATGAATTTATTAAGTGGTGGCGATGTTAAGTGTTGGAGTTGTAAAAATGGGAAAGTTATATTAGACGATTTAATTGAGTTATGTTAATGTTGCCGTAGTTGTGAGATACAATGGTAGCGGGTTTAGTTCTCATGAATTAATTTGTGTATGTTTATTTATTATTGGTGGAAGTGTGTAGTAATTTGTGTTATATTTAGTATTGATATTATGCAGTAAAATATAGCAACGGGAGTTTATTAACATTTGTACTGTTTTAATAATTTGTTAGTTCATAATCTTGGCTCCTGTAGTTACGAGAATTAAATGAATTAAGAGGCATCAACGTGAACCAGAAAAATATATCTCGAGAGAAGCTGTTTACGAGAGACTACTGGGAGATAACTTGACCTAAATGCAAGACTTTATCACCCTGTAATAATCACTGCCCCTACTCCCTCGTACAAGAGTGGGCCACATATTGTAAGACAAGACCATTATCTCAACCCTTAAATGCTAAGGTTTTACATGTATATATTGTAAAAAAAAAATGCGGGAAAAAGGGGGAAAGAGAATGAACGCAAACTTTAGCAAGGTAGTAAAAGTTTATTAGACTGCGGTGGATGTGTGAACTGGGCGTGTAGAGGATTAACGGAGATTAGGAAGGTAGTGTTTTATAAAGCCTGTAGACGGTGTTAATAGAGTTGAAGAGTCTATTATATAGGATCATGTCAACGGTGAAGGCAATGTTGTTTTATCATAATGTTTATTGGTTTTTTTTTGCTGTTTTGTGGTGATTTTACTTATTTATTATTATTATTATTATTATTATTATTATTATTATTATTATTATTATTATTATTATTATTATTACAAACCTTCTCCTTCCTTCCCTCTCACCTGTTTTAACACCTGGATCAGATAGTAAAACGAATAATTAATGTAAATCTTCACTACTAAACCCAACACTGAATCTCTTTTTCACAGCACTAAACCCGCATGTAAAGAGAATGTCTGAGTGTAGATCCTATTGTTCAGTGATATATGTGTGTCTCTCCTGCTGGGGGTGAACACTATGAATATTCTCTCTGACGAAGGTGGCGACGTACAGGTGTGCTCTGGGTGGCGACGTACAGGTGTGCTCTGGGTGGCGACGTACAGGTGTGCTCTGGGTGGCGACGTACAGGTGTGCTCTGGGTGGCGACGTACAGGTGTGCTCTGGGTGGCGACGGTGCTCTGGTGGCGACGTACAGGTGTGCTCTGGGTGGCGACGTACAGGTGCTCTGGGTGGCGACGTACAGGTGCTCTGGGTGGCGACGTACAGGTGTGCTCTGGGTGGCGACGTACAGGTGTGCTCTGGGTGGCGACGTACAGGTGTGCTCTGGGTGGCGACGTACAGGTGTGCTCTGGGTGGCGACGTACAGGTGTGCTCTGGGTGGCGACGTACAGGTGTGCTCTGGGTGGCGACGTACAGGTGTGCTCTTGGGTGGCGACGTACAGGTGTGCTCTGTGCGACGTACAGGTGTGCTCTGGGTGGCGACGTACAGGTGTGCTCTGGTCAACCACTAATAAAACTGTGACGAAATTATGGGTTGTTTTTTTCTCTCTTGTGTACTGAAATTTTTTGGAGGATAATAATTCGACTGTGTGTTTACGTTAGGTTAGGTTACGTTAGGTTACGTTAGGTTAGGTTACGTTCGGTTAGGTTACGTTAGATTATATAAAATATTTTAATAAGAATTTGGTTATGAGAGAGAGAGAGAGAGAGAGAGAGAGAGAGAGAGAGAGAGAGAGAGACAGACAGACAGACAGACAGACACACAAACAGACAGACAGATAGACAGACAGACAGACAGACAGACAGACAGACAGATAGAGAGACAGACAGACAAACAGACAAACAACAGTAAAAACATCGCATATCCAAGTTGGTGGAGAAGTAATGAAGACAGAGCAGAGTGGACCAGACACCATCCCTTATTCACTCAAGTTTGGCGAGAGTTGTACCACGTCTGGCCTCTACCTCCCTTACCTCTCACTAGCTTCTTCCGGCCTCTTTTCACCTCTCACCAGCTTCTTCCGACCTCTCTTTACCTCTCACCGGCTTCTTCCGACCTCTCTTTACCTCTACATACATCACTACAAGTTTTCCTAATATGTTTTTTCTTTTGAATTTTGTCTATGTTTTTCTTTGGTTCTATAATTCTGTCCATATATATTTATTAAAAATTGTGAGGTTAGGTTAGGTTAACGTCTAATATTTACGTTGGTAGTTTCTCTCTTAACCTAACCTAACCTAACCTAACCTAACCTAAAAGTAGAATCTCTAAATCTATTTACCATCGTAATGAAATTTTCTTCGTCTCGTTTATGTACTGAGGAGAGCAACAACCTTCACTCCCTCTCACAGGTAGAATCTAATTAAGGTAGATTCTCACAGGTAGAATCTAATTAAGATAAATGCTCACAGGTAGAATTCAATTAAGGTAAATGACTAGAATGTTGTTATAATATCTTTCTTGGCTTTTCACAAATATTTCATAGATGTTTTAAATGTGTGTACGACTTGAGTGATAATGAGTGACGTTAAGGGTTGCTGTGTGTCCCTGTAGTCACCACATAATTGATAGTTCACTCTGATTGGGCTTTGAAGGTCGTTAAGTTATCCTTCTACTTTTTAACATAGAGTAATATTATCATTTATAGTAACATATTTAAATAACTACATGAATAAGGTGATTTTTTTTAGACATATTTTTGTGGCATACTTACACCTTATTAAAATACAGGTAACATAATCTGGATCTAGTTTGGGGATGTCTAACTTTGACCGAGCCAACTTCCTCCTCCTCTTGTCATCCAGTATTCAAGAGCTGTAAACTTACGCCTCACTCTTGGACACACACACACACACACACACACACACACACACACACACACACACACACACACACACCTCCATTATTGAAGGTGACAGCCACACACCTCTCATATTTAACCTAACCTAACCTAACCTAACCTAACCCTCATCCACAAACTAGATTAATGAGTTAGTTTTGACATCAACGCGTTCCAACAAAATCTCTCTCTCTCTCTTGGATTCGTTCTAACAGTGTGTATCTCCTCTCGTCACAGATCCAGCTCTACCTCTACAACAGCGACCTCTACAACAACTTCACCCACGCCTTAGACAAACCCAACGGCGTCCTTGGCGTGGCGGTGCTACTGAAGGTGGGGCTACTACTACTACCACTACTACTTTTTTCTTTTCTTCTTTTTTATACGTGGCCTCCAGCCTCCCCCAATAGCCACACCTTCGCCACCATTATATTACCTTAATATTAAATATCCTAATACATAAGTAGCTATCCTATCTGTGTTAAATTAGTTGAGCCGCAGATCTATGCGGCATTCAGTGACTGTAGCCTCATAGTCAATATCAGCAGCAGTTATCGGCATTGGGGCAGAAGCTCTCGTTCCCCTAAGGCAGAGCAAAGCCGACCGAAGGAGAGAGAAAGACAGTCGACATCTCATCCAGGCTGTAACATAACTTCTGGGCTGCTGCTTCTGTTCGGAGATCACCTCCGCGAGTCTGGTGTAGAAACATCTTGCACTTGGTCCCATCCCATCCCACCATATGCCCTTATCTTGTCGTTCTCGTTCCTCCTGTGTGCAGCATCGAGAGCTAAGTTACGGTGACTACTACTACTACTACTACCATACTATACCCTTAGCTAGTATGAACATGCATCATACATCATACCCTGGCAGACTAAATCACCAGATACACATCATGTATACATTATAGATATACAGTGAACTCTCTATATAATGGACTATAGGAAGACAAAAATCCGTTATATCGAGGGGTCGTTAGATGTGAAACTTCCATATAACAAATTATGATAGGAAACTCCGTTATATCAAGGATCCAGTATATGTGAAAAAAAAAACATTTAACGTATTACATAGTGAGGGAAATCCGTTATTTGGAGGTTTTACAGTTCACGCCCAGTATAGTTATCCCAGAGTAAGTACATTATCAGCTATATTTATACACTATACACTATACACTATACTCCCCTGTTTCAGTATATTAGTTTAAGTATAATTATAATGATCAAAAAATATCTTATTTCTCACTAGACACTATTATTATCGGATTAATATTGTGGACTGTATGATCGTAGAATAAACTAAGTCGTAGGGATGACTATTATCTTCTAATGTTTGCTTGTTTTTAATGGAAGGAAAACTATAATATTTGGACATTAATTTCACCTAACTAATATCATTGTTAAAATTCGGTCGTAACTGAACAAGTAAGATATCGATCAGAAGATTGGATAAATTTTAGGTAACCATGGATATACTGTAGGTAACCATGGATATACTGTAGGTAACCATGGATATACTGTAGGTAACCATGGATATACTGTAGGTAACCATGGATATACTGTAGGTAACCATGGATATATTGTAGGTAACCATGGATATACTGTAGGTAACCATGGATATACTGTAGGTAACCATGGATATACTGTAGGTAACCATGGATATACTGTAGGTAACCATGGATATACTGTAGGTAACCATGGATATACTGTAGGTAACCATGGATATATTGTAGGTAACCATGGATATACTGTAGGTAACCATGTTTTAACACTAGGCATTACTTCTCCACTTTTAGTATCTTATTTAGGTAACACCAGACGATTTTATTCAGCACAGAAGAGCCCTGTACACAAGTGGCTAAACAGGGAACTACACAGTGCCTCGAAAGTTCAATCCCTGCATATAAACATTTCTTATTTGTCTTTTGATATTTTGAAACTTTTTGAGAGGAAAAACTTAAGAAACAATCATTGTGTTTGTTAGAGAATAATGATATATGATGTGGGTGGTTGTGATGGTAACGTGAGTGTGTTTACCTGGGGGTGGGCACACAACCCTCTCACAACAAAGAGACATTCACGGCACTGACTGTAAACAAAGACAGTTGTGTGAGCTTCTCCTCTGAGTAAACACACTGAGGGAGATGACCAAGATGACATATCTGTTGACTCAGGTGTGGAGCTCCTCTACCTGATTCACAGTAATAACACAAGACGTTTTATCCAGACTGTATCAATTTTGTTGTACTCGTCGTGTACAGGATGACGATAGGCACTGCGGGTCAATTACTCTATAACTCAATTAAATCACGTGATATATCTTGAATTTTTTACAACCCCGTCACTTAACATCGCTACTTGCCACCAGTTAATTCACTTGCTATCACTTAATTCACTTGCCACCACTTAATAAATTCATCCCAACAAAATTATCAACACAGTCTTCCTCCACCAGCACTTAATAAGCGACAATATGAGTTGAGTGTGTCGACCATCATGGAGTGTGTCTCTTGTTTCAGTGGTCAAGTTGTTGGAGTCGAGTCAAATTTCTTACTTAATTTCTCTATTTTTATTATCTTGTGAAACGTTCATCAATATTCAGACCGTAGTGTTAATGATCGCTTGTCTCATAACTCATAAAAATGGCTGAAAAGTTTAAGAATGAATTTTGAGAAAAGTTATGAATATCATTTCTTTTTAGTCAAATGGAAGAGATATTTTTTTTTTTTGAAACAATTGAGTTTTTGTAACACCTCATTAATCGTAGGGTGGTTTTTTTTTAAGTTATTCATTGACCATTTTTATGCACTGAATGTAGCTCTGGTGAAGGGGCGAGTGTGAACAATGTTTAAAATCTCCATCTGAACGACACGACGATTCGAATTTTTACTAATTGAACAACGACGTACTATTGTTAGGTTAGGTTAGGTTGATTTTGTCTGACGTCGCGAAGGAGTTACATTCTATACATTAAAATAAACATCCAGTAAAAATCCTATTAATAACTCGAATAAAAAGATGACGATTTATATATACTATTACTAACCTAACCTAACCTAACCTAACCTAACCTAACCTAACCATCATCACTACAGTATATTGATCCACAAAGTTTATTGATGTATTTCATTCCAGATTGGTTGGCGCCCTAACCCCGTGTTGAAGATCTGGATGGATCACATTCACATGGTACCACATAGAGGTAAGGCTCTCTAGGACCACTAGTTATTATGGTGTGTGTGTGTGTGTGTGTGTGTGTGTGTGTGTGTGTGTGCGTGCGCGTGTGTGTGTGTGTGTGTGTGTGTGTGTGTGTGTGTGTTATAAACAATTCCTTATAACAAACACTGTCTTCACCCTCAGGAACATCAACGTTGATTCCCTTTGTCCCGATACGAGAGTTGTTTACGTCACACCTCTACCTGTCCTACGAAGGTTCCTTGACGGAGCCGCCCTGTGAGGAGACTGTTACCTGGATAATTCTTAATAAACCAGGCTACATCACTGCTGACCAGGTGAGTTATTAAATTGCTCATAATAATGCTAATAGGTGTATTAATTTAGTTATTTAATTGATAATAAATCTTAGTGCTCTTCTTGGTCTCTCTCTCTCTGAATTATCCACCTTTTTACTAATTTTTCACTTCCCATTTTCTGACAAGTCTCCCCACCACCATGACTCACTCCTATACACCAGTCTTCTTCCACGTCCAAATTTCCTCCTTTATCTTTATATCATTTTCTCTCAAGTGTCTGATAACAGTAAGATAAAAACACCTTCCTTATCTTACAAGTCTATATCATTGTGTGTTTTTCATGGCTCATTTGACGTAAAAGTTGTATAATTTTTAAGACTTTGGATGAGAAGTTATTGGTGTTGTCCTTATCGTTTGTGATACAGTTGTGGCAGTTACAGTCATTACGGCGAGGCACCCATGGACAAGCTCTCCCTATCAGTGGTAACTTCAGGCCTCTCCAACCTTTACACAGACGAGCCATCAGGACAAATATCCCCCCGTATACATTGGTAAGTACAGTACCTAATGAATGACTATGTGTTCAAGTATATGTTTGATGGCATTCATGTGTGTGTGTGTGTGTGTGTGTGTGTGTCTCTTTGTATAAGTGTAAAGAATAACACTTGAGTGATGAGAAGCACCCAGCAGGCAGGCAGGCAGTACAGCACGGTGAGGGTGGTAGAGGTGGCGGGGAAGGAAGGCGGATGTAGGAGGCTGTACCAATAAAGTTCAGGTGTCTGGCGAGTGAGTGGTGGTCGTGAGGTAATGGAATCATTGCGATGGCCTCACCACTCCCCACTCGCTGGCTCGGAGAAAATTGCAATAGATATATCAAACCACTTCCATTTATCCTCTAATCCCCAAGCGATACAGATGATGTAAGGAAATATACTTAAATTTTATATTGAATAGAAACTTACATCAGTGGTGTATAGCAACCAAGACGGGAATGAAGGTGGAGGTGATATATAGCCTGTGTAGTGTACCTGCCAGGTGTCTCGGGTCTGTAAGATGAACCTGACATTCCTCCTCCTCCTCCCCTTCACATATCTCCCGGCGGTGGGGATCACTTCAGTAGACTACCTGGTCTGGCTCTCCCATGATCCAGAGATCCTTCCCAAAACTTGTGAAAATAATCTCAATCATTTTTCTTCTCCATAATTAACATAAAAGTAATAAATTTTTGTTCTGAATTATTTTTTTTTTATAACTAATTGCAATTTGTGTGTATATGTATGTATGAATATATTTTTATGTAAATATGTGTGTGTGTGTGTGTGTGTGTGTGTGTGTCTATGTATAATGCAGGTGTAGTGAAGTTCCCCTGGAAAGACCGAAGTACTTCATGCTTCTCATGCAAATGAACTGGTGGTCGGGAGGGGGCGGCCACTAAACTGAAGAGACACACCAGCTCCCTCCCTCCTCCACTCCCCACCCTCCCCACCTCCACCCCACCCTCCACCCCCAGTGAGAATTTTCATCTTGTTCAAAATATCAAAATGTGTTTACTAATGGACACACTGAGGTCATTAAATTGGAATATTCGTAATTACTTATTTTAATGACACTTCAAAACGTCCATTCGTTCAGCAACTCGATTGATTCGCCTCCTATAATTTTTCAATGTTGTTTTTCGGTGTTTTTCAAGTTTCGTGCATATAGTGAAGTAGTTAACGATCATTGATAATCCCAACAAAAGATATTTTAGGCCAAGTAAACCACCACGACTCATATTATTTCTGTCATAATTGTTTTTTTTTTAATTTGACTTAGATAAATTTTGTGAGAGGAATGAGAAGTATTAAAGTGGGTGGAGGGGGGAGGGGAGGGGGAGGGTAGAAGCTGAGTGAGGGATAACAAACTCTGAGGAAAATGAATAACAGTTGAGGAAATGTAAAACAAGGTAGAGAATTAAAGGAATGTTTGTGGAATTACAATAAAGTGATGAGGTAACGAGAGTGGTTTAGATCTGATGCTAATTTATTGTGGAGGTTTAACACGCGGCCATATTGTTTTAAAACTTATTTTCGGTAATTAACTCGTCGACCACAACTCTCTCTCTCTACAGGTTACAGTATTATGTAGGGAGCGTTTTGTCTGGGAGGGTAAGTTTAAACAACACCAAGTCAATATGTGAAAAATGGCTCTTTCTGTTAACTGGTCCTGGCAGCAGCTTTGTGGACAACCGCTGCTTCTATTAACCTACACAGTGTATGTAGGAGAATAATTTCCCTCATGACAAGTTAAGATCGCTCAAGGTTAATACTCACTCCACAAGTTAAGGTCAACCTCCAGCAACATTCAATTCACAAGATCTGTTATCGTCCAATTATATAACTCCACCTCAATAATCCAAAGTCTTATAATAATAACTTACAACACTTATTATGAGTCATATGATCACCTTCAGGAGCAGAGTCTGTGGTTTATGATGAAGTTGTGAATCATTTATGAAGCGCCGTTAGTCATCCTTTGTTACAACACTGACAGGCTAATTGTCTTGTGGTGGTGATGGTGAACCTAACAACAGGGCGGTGAGCGTCCCTGGCCAGTATTGTGTGTTTGGTGTGAGAACATTAACTATAATCTTCACGTCACTTCAAGTTTAGTTTGTTTACATAGACGTACAGTACAGTCTGATGTCGTCTTATTGTTTACTTCCTAACCTAACCTAAACTAACCTAAACTAACCTAACCTAAACTAACCTAACCTAAACTAACCTAACCTAACCTAAACTAAACTAACCTAACCTAAACTAACCTAAACTAAACTAACCTAAACTAATCTAATTCAATTATAATTTTTGTTTTTTTATGAATTAATTTTCACTAAATTCGGCAAAAACTTCAGTTACTCTTTAAGGCTTAATTGACAATGATCCCTTTTTAGCGTAACACACACACACACACACACACACACACACACACACACACACACACACACACACACACACACACAGTTCTATGTCACACAATTGTTTAATCTCGTTGGACTAGCGTATTACTAGCCTTATTACACGCTTAAAGACCTTATAGTAGTTGAGACACGGTAATAACATCAAAACACCAACACAGACGAGTGAACTAGTGTTAGTCTCACCTGCGGGGTTTAACCTGTCATACAAAAAAAATCCACTGTTGGTTAAATAACGGTAATAAAACCCATTATTAAACAGTTATGACCAAATTATACAACAATAAACTGTAGCTGTGGTCTGTGTGGTAAATTTGTATTAGTTGAGTAAATAATGGTAGCTGGGGTATAAAATGTTAATGTGTTTTATTATCTTTGTGACAAGAGTAAATTAATATTTTTTTTTTTCATTGTAAAATTAATATATATCTTTTTACTCATTTACTTATTTGTGGGGGTTTTTATATTTAAATTTCTGTCTGTTTTTCAGTGTTCTTTTTATAATCTTTTCTGTCTGTCTGTCTGTCTGTCTCTGTCTGTCTGTCTGTCTGTCTGTCTCTGTCTGTCTGTATGTCTGTTACTGGGAGATCATCGTCGTGAAAGGTTGTCCATCACTTCAAGGCATTAGTTGTGACACAGGTTAAAACACTTTGGCTATATAAACTAACATCCTTCCTTGTCTTTTGATGTAGCGCCTCACATATTATTCAACCTGTGATTTACCTTCCTCTTGGGGATAATATTCTGCCTTGTCGATATTCTAGTGAGATCCTTCAGTAGTTAACAAAGGGGAGTGTGTTGAGTATAGGCGGGGAGGAGGAGGAGGATCATTATGTACTTTTATCCCAACAAAATTATCAAATAAGTAAGATTCCAGAACCGTCTATTACCTAATCAACGAGTATCATGTGTAGATCGGGGTTCGTTGTCAGTGTTCTTGAGAAATATAGGTGTTAGTTGTCGTATAAGTACAGTATTAATATGAAACACTCAAGGGTACTAGGGTATAATATTGAGTAAGTAATGCTGAGGAGTTTTGACTGAAGAATAGACGGAATAGTGGAGGTCTTAGTCAGTCTCTCTCTCTCTCTCTCTCTCTCTCTCTCTCTCTCTCTCTCTCTCTCTCTCTCTCTCTCTCTTCTTTTCTTTTCTCTCTCATATTATCCATTTCATCTCTCACACATTCTTCCCGTTACTCTCCTCGCCCTCCTCACGCTGGTTGGTCGTCAGGAAGAAACAGCTCACTAAGAATATCATTTATTTATATTGTTCACTCGGCTCTTCTCTCGTCACAGGAGACTCGTGTAGATCCTCCCAACAGCGGTGCGCGTTAATATTAAAAGCTACTTCTGGCATGACAGGTAATCCGTGAAGATGCAATATATATCCGTGTTTACTTAGCCCGGGCGAGAGTTATGTGAGGGCAGATCTGCATTAGCTATTCTACTGTACTGTGGATATATCTAATCTATCTATCTATCTATTTATCTATCGATCTATCTATCTATCTATCTATCTATCTATCTATCTATCTATCTATCTTTAATCCCAGCTGGGTAAACTGCTGTGTGTCTGCTTTATGGGTTCGAATACCGGTGTAATATCTGCAAGTTTGTCGAAGTAATCTGATGGAATGATCGATTTATAATGATATGATGTCAAAGGTCATGATGCAGTGGTATAATGTAAAATATTATCTATATATTATGAATTTCCGTGGGAGTAAAGTGTAAAAAGGTGGTACAGTAGTTAGACACCTGCCAGTCACCTAATTAACTCGTCTCTCTCAGTCCGGTAGTTAATCTTTTCCTGTGTCTTATATCATGCTTTCCAGTGAAGGGTCTAAATGAAACACTTTTTTATCTTGTGGTGTTGTCTCTCCACTGTCACTGTAGTATCCTAACCTCTCCTGTTTTGTAGTTTGAGTTTTGTACCGAGAGACAATTCCTCGAAAGAATCATCCTCTGGGTTTTTTTTTTTTATAATAAGTACGAGGGTTTTAGGAATATTTTGTATTTCTCTTCAATGCGGGAATACAGAAAGAACAAACATTAATCTGGCGACACGGATTTGACGATACTGATTTTTGTGTATGCTGGAGTTTTGGTCAAATACCTAACCTAACCTAACCTAACCAAGCCTAACTTAACCTAACTTAACCAAACTTAACTTAACTTAACCTACACTTAACCTACACTGCTACATGTATTACTGAGTCACAATATTCGTGTTTAGTTCTCCTTGTTTGATGTCACTCTTATAATGTTAGAATTACAGTGTGGTTAAGTTAGGCAAACATCCCACATACATACATACATACATACATACATACATACATACATACATACATACATACATACATACATACATACATACATACATACACACACACATACATACATACATACATACATACATACATACATACATACATACATACATACATACATACATACCAGTAAATAAAGGCATATACTCCATGGGTTAAACACATAAATAACTCAGCTTTAGATTATGTTATGTGAAAGTAATTAAAAGTAAAAATTACATTTTAGAAAATTAAGTTGTAACAATTTATATGTAGCTGACTAATCTCTGTGTGTGTGTGTGTGTGTGTGTGTGTTACGCTAAATAAGGATAATCGCCGATTAAGCTGTATAACACAACTCATGTTTTTACCAAATAGGAATAACTTTCTTTTTTTTTTTGCTACAACATTATGGAAAATAATTCGTATATGGTGACATTTGCCTGTTGCATTTAAGTCGTCGTTTACCATCATAAGGTTAGGTTTAGTTTGGTTGGGTTGGGTTGGGTTAGTTGGGTTAGGTTAGGTTGGGTTGGAGTTGGGTTGGGTTAGTTGCCTTATAACTTTAGCTGGATAAACCCATTAATAACTATTAAAAACATAACTAAAGTGAACTACTAACAAATATATCAACTACGATCCTTAATAACAATACCTTCTCTTTACAATATATACTGACCAATCATTATCATAAATAGAAGAATAAAATTTTAATGAACGATAATGTAAAGACGTTTCGTAAATCTACTGTCGTGGGATAATGCTTCAATGAAATACGCCAGGAAATAATGTTCCCCCAGAGAGCAATACTGGAGCGGACGATAACAAGGAGGCAGGAATAGCGGAGCAGCGGTGTACAGTGTGTGAAGCCTTGACAACTCAATTAGCAAATGCTTGTCGTGGGATGATGTAGGAGACACTCTGATGGGAATTTCCTTGGCTGGACTAGTTCCCAGAATCTATGAGTATCTTGGGGTTTAATTCTCTTTAATATATCAATCTTAATTTACTGTGTGTCTTAGCATCATAGTGAACGAAGAGATGTTTTACTATACGGTGCTGTTATGACACACACACACACACACTTGGGTCTTGCTGCCACACATATATTAGCATTGCCTCTGACCTTCCTGAAGCCACACTGTGCCTCCGATAGTTATGTTTTCAGTGATGTGTTGGGTCAGTCGAGAGAGCACAACACAAGCAAGTACTTCCCAGCCTCTGAGATGTGGTTCCCGGAGACTGATTTACCCCATTTTTTTATTGATTGTGACGATATTAGAATTCTTCCATAATTTTAAATGATAGACTACGAGACCCACATATCAAGGAACAACTGGTAAAGGAGTTGTGGGGAAAGATCGCTTCCATTTTTGAGGACCTCAGTTGGGATTCTGTTTGAAGCAGCACTCTTGTTCTTGATGATTTTTATTGGGAAGACGACCTGGGAGAACTGTGGGGAATGGTCGAGTGGTGGTGGCTCAGGGAGTGCATCCAGAATGGTGGGAACTGTAGAAATTCCTTGGCTTAGAATTTGTTTTTGCTTTTGTTTTTCTTTATAAAACATGGTGCCGTCCGCTGGTTATATTGGGGCACTACTCCGTCTCTGTGGGCCTTAGGTAGATCTGACGGCGTGATAGAAGAGGTCAGTGTCTGTGTCGGTCAATACTTGGAGTTCTTTGTCCTTACTCACCAATCAGGCAGTGATAGTCTACCAGCCACACGCAACATATTCTGTTTACTGTGAGTGAATGAAAAAAATCAGTATCGTGTGTACTTATACCTGTTAAGATAATATAAACTTTAATGATAATTTTAAGTTATATATTTTCTCTCCATATTAATAGTAGTTTGTTTAACACACAGGATGTTGGGCTGAGTAAATGGCGTGCGGTAGGGAAGTTTATTTACCTAAACAGTAAATATTGCAAAAATTACTACAACCGATACAAGTAAATATTATCTCAACATTGATAAAATATTAGAACCATCACTGAAATTCTTCGTAATTATAACATTAATTTATATATTCAAAAAAACATATTACTACTTTTTTAATTTATTTTTAGCAACAAACATGAAACGAAGACTCAGAGCGACTCAACTACGGTACACAAAAGCCTCATCGTCCTGAAGTAAACGAGAAAACTTTACACCACGACAATTATACATCTATGTTGACTCTTAGTGATGGCATGAGTCAGGAGAGTAAATATCGTCTTGTATCTACCATGCTCTGTATACCGTCGATTCGGTCATTATTTTTAGAGAATTTGTTTATCATCGCGGGATACAGGGCGGGATACAGGGCGTGATACAGGGCGTGATACAGGGCGGGATATTGGGGTAACAGGATACAGGTAGCGCCATGACCTACTGTATACCACACAACCACTCTCCATTGATATAAAACAAAACATTTCATAACATCAATATTGTATCATAGAAATATAAATCCATCACCAATTGTTACTGACACAAAAACTGTAAACATAATATCACCTTCTACTGACACTGAAGTTAATCATAGACTCATAACTTAGAAATATATGTTTTATTCTCATCCCTCTTACTGAAATAAAAGTTCATCAACCAAATTTTTATCATTCAGTAATTTGCTTTATCAATACTTTGTTTATTCGTTCTGTGAGGTCACAAATTTCTTCTATAATCAACCTGATGAACGAAGGAAGATAAAAGTATAGAAAGTATTAATTTATTCATTTATTCTATGTAACTTATTTATAAATCTTATACAGTAATTTTCTTCCCTTTTTCAGAGCTGCTCGGCTGTAAATAGAACTAATCTTTATCAAGGTAAGGGACACTTCAACCTTCTGTCATACTTCTTCAATTTCATAGATACTGATATTCAAGATAATTTGCATAAGATGAGATATACGTTAATTCAAGTGGCATAATATGTGTGAATGAGTACATATACTTAACACACACACACACACACCGTAATTTTTAGCTACTTAGAGTCATCCTCTTCTTCCCGTCTTCTTCCCGTCTTCTTCCCGTCACAGCCATGGATTTGACGGGTACGTGACGGGCCAGACCCTTAACTACGCCCAGGTCCCCGCCCCAGCCCCACCCGTCACACCCTAAGGTAAGCCACATCATCAAACCCCATGCGTCACACCCATCTCTTCACACTTCAAAGCATGTTTTTTTATTTATAATTTCTTTGGGCATCTTTCTGTTCTCTCTTCTTCGTCGTCTTCTTAAATCCTCTGCTTTCTTCCTATTCCTCCTCCTCTTTTTATCTTGTACTTCAGTGTTTTCTTTTCTTTTCTTCTATTACCTTTTCCATTTCCCTTTTTTTTTAAATTTTTTCATCAATCTTTTTTTTCAACTTTTTTTTTTACATTTGGATTCATAAATTTTACCAGGAAAAGTTTTTATTAATCGTGTACCTCCGTTAAGTCTACAAACTATTTCACTTTTTTTTCACAACGTTAAGTTTTTTTTTTCGTTTATAGTTGGACGTACAAGTGGTGAGTTAGTATCTAGTAATTGAATCATAATTGTTAATGGCAGTGGCATTTTTGGAGCGAATTGTGTCAGAGGAAGTTTAGGTTAATCATCGCCTTGTTCATTAGGAGAAAACACACACACACACACACACACACACACACACACACACACACACACACACACACACACGAACAACCAAATATAATCTTAAAGACGTAATTAGTTTGGAAAAGATGGCCGTCATGGACATTAGGTTATGTTAGGTTAGGTTAGGTTAGGTTAGGTTAGGTTAGGTTAGGTTAGGTTAGGTAGGACAAGCTTTTATTCAGTAAACAATAAATATCTAACAAACAGACACACTCCACTTGACAACACTCTGTACTGAGGAAGAGAAAGTGAAGCATCGACAACATGTTTACTTCCTTGCTGAGTAGACTGAGAGAGACAGAGAGAGACAGAGAGAGAGAGAGAGGGAGAGACAGAGACAGAGAGAGAGAGAGAGAGAGAGAGAGAGAGAGAGAGAGAGAGAGAGAGAGAGAGAGAGAGAGAGAGAGAGAGAGAGAGAGAGAGACAGAGAGAGACAGAGAGAGAGAGAGAGAGAGAGAGAGAGAGAGAGAGAGAGAGAGAGAGAGAGAGAGAGAGAGAGAGAGAGAGAGAGAGAGAGAGAGACGTACATACCTTGGCTTCATACAACAGCTGCTTCACTTAACTCGTGTGTGTAAACAAACCCTCAGGTATTTTTTCGAGTGTACTTTAGTGTCTCCGCTTATGAAATGCCCTACTTAAGACTTATATAGAGCCTAATTCATTTCCAGAAAGTATAGGCTCTCATATAGGCCTACGGGGATTTGGTTAGTTTAATTCTTTATAAGGCAGTGGTGCATATACAATAGGTTAGGTTTGGTTAGGGTTAGGTTAGGTTAGGTTAGGTTAGGTTAGGTTAGGTTAGGTTAGGTTAGGTTAGGTTAGGTTAGGTTAGGTTAGGTTAGGTTAGGTTTCCACACACTATAAAACATTACTTCACCCTCAGCCTTACACACACCATATAAACTCATAAGAGATGAACTTCCCCGTCGTATCAGAAACTTAAAATTTAAGAAAGTTGTTGGTAAATATTGGGAGTATGTGGCTGTTTTGTGGTTAGGAAGTGGATGTGGAGACAGGTGGTGTGGATGAGCCTCATTATCACGGAGACACACGTGCAATGTTGCCTATTGAAATATAAATCTATTGGCTGAGAGTTCATTTTTTTTCTTGTAACCAATTATTAAAAATCTAAAGAAAGAAAATTAATAATACCTTCAAACTTAACCTCCCGAATACTAAATATATATAATATATTTAATTTCCTTAGTAAAACGCTAGTCAGTCAGGACGATATAGAGAAAAATAAATGCACATTAGGCAAGGCATCCAATTAGAGTTGTTCATGATAGTGTGGGGCAGCATGGAGGTCCCCCAGGTTACCCGTGTGCGTGTTAGTCCACAATAATAATTACATTATTTTTAGCCGAGGCATTTCCTGCGGGTGTGTCAGTGCATGACATCAATAATTTTCCACTGCCACCGACAGCACTGATTTACTGGATTTTTCTTACCAGACGATAACGAGGGAGATGGACCTGGCAGCTACAGTGGACAGTGACTCACCGACAGTGTTCCTCACTCGTCCCGTAGTTGAGTAGTTATACCTTGTGTCAACAGGTGATTGTGGCTAATTGTTATATTTTTGTCTTTAAATACAGCTGGACCAGAAACGTGAGCGTCCCGTCCAGGCGTGCCACATCCCCCCCCTCCGACCTAAGCCCCGTGATGCAGCTCGCCGTGCCCACCAGCCCTGTACCCACCGAGTCATCTCCTTCCCCGCCATACCTTGACTCCTCCAGATACATCTTATGATCTTCCATTAATTTATAAAGTGCACACTCAGTCCCTCGTCTCTATCATCACTCTGTTTTCCCTCACTAATAACTGAAGACACCTCGGGAGTCTTCCGGTGTGAGTATCCTTCCCACCAACACTGCCCTCCGTGGCTCACTCTCATCCATCACTTAACATCGCTAGACATTCTTAGGAGATAAAGTTTTCTCTCTGGATAATTTATTTTGGCATTATTGTTACTGTAGGGACCATCCATACAACTCAAACATGATTTTTGTATTTCGTCGTGCCAACTTTGTTTCCGTTAATTTTCCGAATATAAAATCAAGTGTTAGTGTGTGTGTGTGTGTGTGTGTGTGTGTGTATGTGTGTGCGTGCAGGAGGTAGGTGTGTTGTGAGCCTATACAGTGTTAGTTATATAGTAATAGTCGCGAGTTATCCTCCCATGTTGTTCATACATTGTCTTCATAGAACAATAAACAAAAAACATTCAATTAGACAAAAACTATAATGTTTTCTCAGAGGTTTAATGACCCTATGGAGGATAATTACCACATGTAGTTCAGTCTATGGTATTTATCTGCATAATTAATTAAATATATAAATAAATACTTATTTATTTATGTACTTATACATCTATATGAGACTGGTAAATGTATTTGAAAGTTGTAGACAAACTCCAAAGACCACAACAATAATCTGTATCAACTAAGAATAAAAACCAAACGACCTTATGGTTGACGTCACTGCCAGAAGAACATTAGACCGAGGAGATAATTGTCTGTGTAATAAAAATAAGAAAACACGGAAAAATAACACCAATTACCGGACGGACGGATAAAATAGGAATCAGAGGAGCTGGGTGATAAGGGAAGACTCCATACAGAATTGTTGATAACCTTCCCTTACCGATCTATAGGACTGATACTGACTGATTGATTAGGAAAAATAAAACAACAAATTGGATGAACATTATTCTTATTGTGTTTCAGACAATAATGTTATCTCCAGCGCTAGAGAGCAAATCATACGAGTACACTTACAAATTAATGAAGGTTATACTACACAGTGATATGTTCATTAAATTTATAGTGAAACGTGTAGATAATATTGCTTAGATTAATTATTTTTTGCGTTTGTGGCGATAAATAGTACAATAAGTAATAAATTGCCTTGGTAACCCGGTAATATAAGAAAATTTAAGCAAAAACGACTTAAAGTTACTTCATTATTTAAGTGAATTAAGTTTTATTATTATATACCTTGAGGTAGAACTGTAAACACACCAGAAACACAGATACAACTAAGGACTATAAATATATTACTACATAAATATCTAGTGACCCCAAACCCATTAATATTACATCTCCAACACGTTACTGAGGCGGGAGCAGTGTTCGTGACGCGAGATCGACGACTGCTTCTTGTCATGGCTCAACGACACGATTCACAAACTTACGTCAACTAACATCAACATCTCAAACACTATTTCTTGTGAGGTTCTTCATTACTGTAAGACAAGTTTAGCAGAACTTAATCTTCGTAATTTGGAACGAGACTAAAGAAAAATTGGAAAACTATTAGAAATTATAACTTGTGACTCGAAGTTTTCCTTTGATGGTAAACCTATGAACTTGAGGTTGATGAGTAATGGTATTGTCGAGTGGTCGTCCCTTCACCTAACTTCTGTTGGTGTCTTTAGAAGTCATTTTCAAAAGTTATTAACCAATTGCCTACTTTCTGTTTCCTGCCACAGTTACAGAGACCATTCATATTAGGAGTGCAGCTGTCGAGTAATTACAGCTCTCGCCTCCTCTCCTAAGGGACGCTGGTTCACGAGAATATGACTCTCGCTCAGTACTAAGTCTTCTGTACCTTAAATGAACAAATCCGCCACCAGAGGCCGTTCGTGTGTCTTGTACTAATGTGTATGTAATATTACCAATTTTCTTCTTATCAACTTTAGTAAAGGAATTTTCATGCCATTCGTTCATCAGTAATTTCATGTTTACCAATTTCTCTATATTAGTCTTGTTCTCCCCTACCACTGTGTCGGGGGTAGAGCAGAGGGCTCCGTCTGTCTGTTCGTCCGTAATGCTCGAAGCGTGTAACCTATGTGCTAAATCCTTTACAATATTCTATGAATTGACTTGAAAATTAAAACAAATGGAAAAATACGTGCAGCTTTATCACTTTCATTTATTTTATTTTTTTAATCTGTGTTTTGAACGTTGACATACGAGTATCATCTCAGGGTCAGTCAAACAGGTGTACAGTAAATGATCACAGCCTTCTACCGGCTTGAGTGAAATTAATTGAAACTTGAAATAGGGAATGTTGTCTTTGTCATTTTTTAGTTGTATCATAATACTTTACGGATAAGCATATAGTGTGCTTGAAGTACTCAGTGTTCAGTACTCAGTGTTCAGTACTCAGTGTTCAGTAGTTGTTTACTTCATGTAACACTACGGGGGTCATCTTCTCTCCTGTACACAGTTTACAGTGGTCGTCCGGGGCCTTTTAGTGTACTCTTTTACCTTAGAAACATTCGCTGTAAACTTACATTGGTCATCACTTTAGTTTTTGTAACAATTTTTTTTCGTGCAATTTTTTTAATGTAATTATTTTATCGAACTTAAGATACTATTAACAAATTTAATACCAAATTTCAGACTATTTTAACTATACATTTTACTGTAGTTTTAATGAACATTTACTGTGTGTAACTGCCGGTTTAGTATAAATTTGACCAAGTTATTAATTACCTCTTAGCGTTGTTGAAGATGTTACGAAGTCACACATTAATAAAGAAACAAGTTCACCATAGTGTTTGTTATTCTTCCTTAGCGAGATAATATTCCCATGTATACACCAGTCATAACACAAAGTCTACATCATTATCCTCCCGGGTTTAAATCACTGGTCTTGTCTGTATGTAGTTTATAAGCTGCATTTTACAAGCCATTACAGATTGTTTATATTAAGTGTGCATAAAAAGTTATTAAAATATAAAAATGTACAAAGACTTTATAAAGACCCCGTACATACGAAGCTTCCGTAGCCTCTATACTCCGCTCTTCCTCCCTCCCTCCTTCCCCTCCCCTCTCCTTACCTGTACATATCACCCTTCTTCTTGGTCCAGGTGACCTACCCTGCCTCCCTCTCTTACGACACACTCTGCCAACCCTACCTCACCTTGCCACACAGCTCATTATTCTTACCTTGCTGTGTCTAGGTCTAATCAGATCTACTTTACCTTTCTACTTGTCTCATTCATCTCTCTAAACTCACCTGAGTCAATTGTCTTACCTTTCCTAATTCATTTCACTCTATCCTATACAATATCTTCTTCCCTTAGCTGTTTCTGTACATGTTCAGCAATGATCGGTAATAAATGAATAAATTTTAATGGCTGTCTTTTTATAACCTTTATAATATTTATCTTATTAAACTGTATAGGGTAATGCAGTAGGTTATGTAACGTGATGCACCATAACTCTGTTTTATCTTCCTCGATGTACTCAATCTTCCTCTCTCTTCTAAACCAGAGCAAGACAACACAATACTGGAGACTGAATCAAATATACCTACGATGAGTAGAAAGGGGAAAGTGTTAGCTCTTCAACCTAGAGAACTGATCAAAGACAGAAAGTTCTTACGGTTTATGAATTTTGAAAGATAATAAAATGGGTATAATTTTGTATCTGGCTGTACTACGGGGACAAACAGGTACAGTACATACACTTCACAGTAGCTCCGAGAGATTATATTCGCGTCACTACCAAAGCACTGTTACAATTTCCTCAGCTAAGATGTTGTGCAGATAGTTACGTGACCAGAGTTCATTAGTGAAGGCCTAATGACCCTTAATAGGTAGTGTTCCTCTGCCGGGAGAATCATCCTGGGAGCAACTGCAAGCGATATGTCATAATTGCACTATAATTACTGGAATTTTTGGCACTTGATGATGGTCGAGAATTGTGGCGGCATTTAGAGTCACGTCAATTCAGTCAAGCCTCTGTACCTACCCAAGGGCGGCGTTCCCTTAACTAACTTTTATTAGAGTGACTGTTATTCTTTATACCCTTGGTTTTAATATAACATAAATCGTACATATAGCACAACTGAATAAAATCCTCAAAGCATATTTATTAATTGTTTTCACTTTTCTTACAGTAGGATTATACGTATACTAAAATTAACGGATTATATACATTTCAAGAGATTATATATAATTTCTTTGTAATTATCTCGTTATCCTATAAACATTATATTATGAATTAGGTGTTTATATATTTGTCTTATTTGTCACTTTTCATTTTTAACTTAAGATTATTTCTGGATGTTAAGGATAAAATTGTAATTCCAGAAGCAAGTATAACACAGCCAGTGCAGGTAAGAGGGAAGTACCACAGCCAGTGCAGGTAAGAGGGAAGTACCACAGCCAGTACAGGTAAGAGGGAAGTACCACAGCCAGTGCAGGTAAGAGGGAAGTACCACAGCCAGTACAGGTAAGAGGGAAGTACCACAGCCAGTACAGGTAAGAGGGAAGTACCACAGCTTTGTTCCTCCTCCTCTCCTCCTCCACCCTTCCTCCATATTCTTCTCTTCCTCCACCTCCTGCGCCTCCTCCTCCTCCTCCACTCTTCCTCCCCCTCCATTCTTCCTCCTCCTCTTTCCTCCATTCTTCCTCCAGTCTTCCTCCTTTCCTTCCTCCTCCTCCTCCTTCTCCTCCCTTCCTCCTCTTCCTCCATTCTCCCTCCTTTCCCTCCTCCTTCTCCTCCCTTCCTCCTCTTCCTCCTCTTCCTCCATTCTTCCTCCTTCTCCACCTGCTACTCATTCCCCTAGAGACAACACCCAGACAAGGAAGATCTCATTACATAGAGTCGAGCCTCAGAAGGTAATTATAACGCTTATCTTTCTTGCTTCTACGTAAATTAGATGGAATTACATTATATTACGTTAGATTAGATTACGAAAGATTAGGAGGGTTTAAATGTAATGCTAGATTCTCCTTTTTGTAAGATAATGTTAATGTTATGAGAAATGTGTAATTATCAAAGAATAGTTGGTGGGTTAACGTGTGTGTTGCCTTATATAAGAAGTACAATAGGTGGTATAAATGTTGGGTATAGACACTGTCACACTATACATACTGTCACACTATACATACTGTCACACTATACATACTGTCACACTATACATACTGTCACACTATACATACTGTCACACTATACATACTGTCACACTATACATACTGTCACACTATACATACTGTCACACTATACATACTGTCACACTATACATACTGTCACACTACTGTCACACTATACATACTGTCACACTATACATACTGTCACACTATACATACTGTCACACTATACATACTGTCACACTATACACAGTATGAACACCGGCCAGAAATAATGTACTGTATGTAGACAATCCACCATTTTCATTATATTAACAAATTACACTCAGTACATGGAAATAAATAACACGTAATTTGTCACACCCAATATATCTACGACACACACACACACACACACACACACACACACACACACACAAAACCTTCAAGAATAAACATTATATTTTATTAACTGTGAAAGAGCAGGTGATATATGTTGGGCGATGGTGGTGAGCGAGGCAGCAGATCTTTGTACAGGGCGCGGGGAAGACATGAAGAGCTCTGGAAGGTCATAAACTACCAGTACCTTGACGATGGATAAACTATTACCTGTCCTGGGTCTCGGTTCTGGCCTTCTTCTCTCTCATTTTTCCTGTTTTTATCAGTAAATAATTTGTAATGGTATGAAGTGAATGTTGGAGTATAATGTAGTTAGTTATATTTGTTTATTATATAATTTGGTATATGTTTAAGGGGAAGTTGCTGCGATTTGAAGTACTTAAAATGGAATTAAGTTTACAGGTGACAAGTATCGTCCAGTTTTTATATGATTATTTTTTTTTCGCCATAGGATGAAGGTTATTTTTTTTTTCTGAATTTGACCCAATGGTCTCTAGCCTAAAGTTGCCGCTTCGGAAGGCAGCCGGAATTCACACACATTGCTACCCGGGCTCCTCACCTGAGAGAGCGACCCTATAGGTTTACTATCATATAATAAACTTCCACCAACATGTAGGAACAGCGTATATTACCATACAGTACAGAATAATTATTAAAGTCTAATCTAACGATTAAAAAAAAAGGCTACATAACCAGAATTTCAAAGTTCATATTTTGTTCTAAAATAAATACTGAAGTGGTACCTTTTGTCTGGTTTTAATTCATGTTATAAATCTTTTTATTTTCAATTTCCAGTGGTAACCCTCTTGCAGCCTGTGGTTAAGGAGGCAGTGCTCCCGTAAGTGTAAATTAATTTTTCGTCCCCAAAATATGGAAGGGGCATATCTAGTAATTTTTGGTCCAAAAAATTAAATTTGCTCAAAATCTCAGTATAGGACGTAACACTACTTTAACCTCTACTAACAGACAAACTGTTACTAATGAGGAGTGCACTGTAGTCATCATACTGTATACCAGTTTAAATATACGGTATAGATCAGAAGTGTTGTCAAGAACAGAAAAACATTTAGCCTGATGTACAGTATGTAGCACAAACGAGAGATTTACGAATTATAAAAAAGTCACACGATGTTATGTCAAAGAAATGTGAAAACAGAGAAGATTTCAGTGTCAGATCAGCCTTAAGAATAATGCGGCAGAACACAGGGTGGTGGTGGTGGTGGTGGTGGTGGTAGGGACTGTACAAAGATTGGAGACCCACACAAGATAGCCCACGAGCACGACCACTTGGAAGAGACCGAGAGAGAGAGAGAGAGAGAGAGAGAGAGAGAGAGAGAGAGAGAGAGAGAGAGAAAATGAAACACGAAGATAAAAGAATATCAATCATCTTATCCCATTCTTGTGTGGGAATCTGATTACAAAAAAATGAGGGTTCGCTTTACTTTTTGCTCTGATAGAATGATGTATATAATTTTACCTTGCATTATTATACCTTCCTCAATATAAACATCATCAGACCTCTTGTGTTTCAAAATACGTGGCTCAAGACGAAATAAGATGGTAGAGTGATTTCATCGTTGTCAGGAGGATTGCATCGACCACCCGCTGAATATATTACACTGCCAGACTTTTAGACAGATACTTCCACAAAAGTCTCGGTGGCTTACCTGAGAAAGCTTTTACTGTCCTGTCTGACGGATCAAGACTTATAGACGGGTTATATCTTCGAGATTCTTGCCCAAGACAGACGGGGAAACTCTCACGGGTCTCGGAGGTTGAGGGAGCCTCCTTCCTTGAGTACTTAGGTAGTGTTGTCTTGATTTACATAGTTGCTTAAAAAAGAAGAAAAGTTAAAGGTAAAGATAGATTCCCGTGACAAGAGCCGTTCTTCACGTCCTGGTAAAAGAGAGATTGTGTGAAAAAAAAGAGTGAGTGATTGTGTATGTGTGTGTGTAAGAGATAAAGAAAACCCTGACAGACAGACAGAGATAGAGAGCTAAATTTACTCATTTCCAAGACTCACTGGGTTAAAAAAACCCAACCTCTCTATCTTCCTCCTCTTAACCCAAATACCTTAGCCCAACCACACATAACGAACACTCAGGTAAAGTACTGTACACAATCACTAACATAGGATTTATCATACTTATAAATTACCTACATCATGAAATTAGTAAAATAACACACGAGTAAATCCAGAGGAACTGCCAAAAAATCAGTATTAATGGCGTTAATATTGAATTTTTCAGTCCTAATATAATCTACCGTCCAGTACCAGAGACGCCATTAACCAGGTATAGTCCCCACGCACCGCCTCTGTTAGGCCATATATTCAAGTGAGGTGATTATCGCGTCAAGATGGTCGACACAACAATTAAACCGTCTCTCATTACACACTAAGTCTCACTGACCAAGAGACTTCCTCAGATAGATCGATTGTAAACATAATTGTGAGGGAATTGTGTTTAAATACTGGAAAACATATATATAGTTTCTGGTCGATGGTAGACAAGATTTAAAGCGAATAAAGACAAAGTTATTATGACTGTGTGTGTGTGTGTGTGTGTGTGTGTGTGTGTGTGTGTGTGTGTGTGTGTGTGCGTGTGTGTGTGTGTGTCCTTACCTTCCTGTAGCTCCTCACCTGTAATCAGCCAGCTGCATCACGCTAACAGACGTCACTACAGAGAGGCAGGTGGAGGTGCCGCACAGGTGATCTGGCTCAATTAACCCAGCTGACACCCCCACCACTCGAGGTATTTAAGGTTCGCACACCTCCCTTATATACGACACGCTTTGTGCTGTATTAAGCCTATCACATACTTTATAACCGTGAGTTCTCCCTCTAGAGTACATTTCCTTTTTAGTACATATCCTTCTGG